GCTGGGGCGGCGTGAGAGTAAGCTGGGGCGGCGTGAGAGTAAGCTGGGGCAGCGTGAGAGTATGCTGGGGCAGCATGAGAGTATGCTGGGGCAGCGTAGGAGTGAGCTGGGGCGGCGTGAGAGTAAGCTGGGGCGGCGTGAGAGTATGCTGGGGCAGCGTAAGAGTGAGCTGGGGCAGCGTAAGAGTGAGCTGGGGCAGCGTAGGAGTGAGCTGGGGTGGCGTGTGAGTAAGCCGGGGCGGCGTGAGAGTATGCTGGGGCAGCGTGAGAGTAAGATGGGGCGGCGTAAGAGTGAGCTGGGGCGGCGTAAGAGTGTGCAGCGTATGCGGGCTTGTAGGCCGGGGCAGATTTGTAAGCTGGGGCGCTGTAGCCGTGGCTGTATCCTTCGATTTTCTTAACTTCGGCGTTGAAACCGCTGTGGTCGGCGGTGTATTCGACGACGCGGGTGGAACCGTCGGCTTCCAAAAGGCTGTACGATCCTTTGACGTTGCCGTGTCCGTCGCTGTGTTCGGATTGGCTCTTGACGTCGTAGGTGTGTGGGTCGTTTACGCTGTACTCGAAGTTGTACGGGGTCGGGGCGTACGAGTGTTCGGGGGCGTAAGCGTGGTGTGCTGGGTAAGCCGGTGCGGCGTATTCAGCGAGTGCGGTGGCCACGCAGGCTGCGAAAACGATCATCTGAAAACATAAAAAAAAATGTTTAAATATTTGACACAACACTAACCTAACGAATTTCGAATCGTTTGTTTAAAAAAAAACAACGATCACAATATCAAAATCGAAAAAGACTCTATGTTTAGGTTTTGAACGAAATCTCAATACCTTGACGGCCATTTTTGATGTTTTTTTTTTTTTTTTTGATTTGGTACTGTGATGTGTGATCTTGTACCTGTGGATGGAAACTGATACCAACTGACCAGTGATTCTCTGTATTTATGTTAACGGAAAGTTTTAATTGTCTCCCCACCAAAAAATTTAATTTTGTGAAGCCGTGTCATTATGTTATGTTATAACCGGTTACAAAAAATTTATATAATTATTATTTAATATTTTTGCTCGTTTAAGACTAATTTTGTTACCGTATTTGGTTAAATATTCCTTTCCAATAATTTGGACTGACATAAATACACAACATTTTATCGTTTCATTGAGATGCTGAAGGATTTTCATATTTTTATAAACTATTTTCAAACCTAAAATTAAATTAGTAATTTTGGAAATATACCGCAAAGCTAATTATTTTAGAATGATTTACTTCTTATTCAATCGTTCAATGCCAGTATCACTCATTGATTACTAACCTAATAACTATTTCAATACACTTATTACTCATATTAGTTATAATAAATTAAGAATTCACATATCAAGTCCAACACTCTATTTTTCAAGACGTTAAGTATAAATGATTTTACTCAAAATTGAATTAGAATTTTAATTCTACTTTATTCAAAAATATGTGAAATAAAATATCTCCGAAATATTTTTAATTGGTTTAAATTCAAATTACAACTATAGTTATATTTTTAACAATTTTTTTCTATTTATATTTTATAGATCTTATTTTGGTTTGGCCATTAGGCTATTAGCTATACATTGGTAAAAATAAATAGTTTTAACTATTAGAGTTATGTAAATGCTGACCTAATGTATTTAAAACATAATTTATACTTAAAAACGTATAGATAAAATAAAGTATATCTTTAGAATAATATGAATTTTTTTTTGTGTGTGATTTAAATATTGTAATATAGTAATATTATAATAATAACATTTTTTTATATAACATTTGGCTATAGTAAATCAAATATTTTGTATTGGTTAAAGAATTTTATAGTTTTTTTTTTTTTTCATTTAATGAATTTAATCCTAAACTTTCGTAAATTAGATGAATTGCTTTTTGTTCGCTGTGTTGTTTGTATTTCTCGAAAATGTAATTAGTTATTAGCGTAATGCAACACGGTTGGCATACTGGAGAGTCATTTCTAGTCATCAAAAATTCACGTGTTAGTCTCATATGACTAATTCTAGCACAATCTCATAATTTTCCTTTTAAGTGCCTGTACTTGAATTTTTGTTCACTTTTTAACTGATGAGAGAGGAGAGATAAAAATATAAAAAAAGTACATATTAACTCCTAACCAGTTTTCAATAAGTTAAATTGTGTTTAATTGTTGTTTGATTGAAAAATAATTTATTTTGAAGACCTAATTATTTCACAAAATATAAGTATACATATTAATATTTTCTAAAAACTATAAAATTTTGAACTACCTATTTTTTATTATTTATTGATATTTTAATATTTATATTATTTTTTCAATTAATGTATAGTACAATGTTTATGAAAAAAAAACTTTAAAATTTAACATAAAGTTAGTCACACATTTTTTATAAGCATTTGAAGTTGTAATTATTTTATAAGAATGTACAGGCATTAACCTTTGATTGTAAATTGAAATTTACATTGGTGATAAATTTACTGTATTAAATATATTTTAAACAAAATAAAAACAATTTTATTTAATAATATATTATTATTTTTAAAATTTTCAACAATAGGGACTTAAAACTATACCATCGCATAAATAATTATTTTATACAAGTAATTCATTTTTTATTTACATTAATCTAAAACTATTTTAAGATGAACCTATTCATTATATCTACATTATACAATATCATCATATTGTATATTTAAAGAAAAATAAATTTCTAATATTATAAATAATAAATTAATTTAAAAATATCGTTGGAAATAGAAGCTGATATTTTGCCGTCGCTTGGAATCATTTTTCGTTTACGTTGGTTATCAATAAATTTAAATTTATCGAAATTATTCATTTACATATATTTAGTGAACAATTAAACTTAAAATTAAATATACGATAGAGCGAATTCTCGATTATTTTAGAGCGGGCTATGTTTTCAGTCATTGTATTTTTGATGAGATCTATTTTAAATTTAACTTAATAAAATAATATATATATGTATTAGATAATCTGGTGTATTAAGATTTTATGTTTTAAAATAATAAATTGTTTTTCTCAAACATCAGATTAATTAATTAAATTCTAGTCAATATAGTTTTTAATTAAAATTAAGTGTTGTTTTCAAAAAGTAATAAAATATAGTTTGTACTATAGAGCGTGTGAAGTGAACCGGGTTGTCTGCAGTCTATATATCCTGATCAAACTTTTTGACATGCGTTATTACAATGTAACCTATTGTAATTAAAAATTCGGGAAATCGATCTACAGTATAATAGGTTTTGAATGTACGGCGTAATTGAGGAAATTGGTTAAAAGAATTTGATAAACTTGAATACAATGATAAATTAGTGCATACAAAATACGATTCTGTAAAACGAAAACCTCTGGTAACTTATATGTTACAGGGTATTTTGTAATTTATAAATTTGACAATAAGTATCTATTTTTTATTATTAGTAGAGTATGTTAAATGTATTTCTTTTAATTATCATTTATTCTATATAAAAAATAATTACAATACTAAATCTCACATTATTGACCATTGTTATTAAGAATATGAAAACACAGCATTCGGTCAAACAGTAAAAATGTGTTCATGGTATAAGTATCTTAAAATTAGTCAAAATATTTTGAAGACAAATGCATAAAACAAATTTTAATGTATTTTATGACTAAGCTATGTTTCAAGTTTTATAATTATTATTTTTTTGAATGAGAACGAAATATAAAGTATTACTGAAGGATAAGTCCTTAATAAAGTATGAGTATTTAATGTATTGTTTGAATATTTAAACGCCCATTTAAACGTAAGTAATTTTACGCTATTATGTTTTTTTGTAATTCTAATAAAGAATACTTATAAATTAAAAAAAAAAAAAAAAAAAATAATAAGCAAACCTTTCCAACACAAAATATATGGAATAATATATGCACTTAACTACACACAACATGATCAGAATGATTAAATTATAAAATATAATGAATTCAATTTTATAAAAAAATATAATTTAAAATAATTATAAATAAGTGTTAATAGCTCTAGTTGTGATCCAATCAATGAAATTCCAAAAATTTAAGGATATTTAGGAATTTGATAAAAACTACTAAATATAAACGTAATCTAAATTATAACTAAAATTACTCATTGTATATAAACATTATTCATGGCTGATTTTACACATAATTATATGAATAAATAATTATATTTTATACCTAGGCCATGATTCATGACTCATATTATATTATTTATATATATATATATATATATATATATATGTGTGTGTGTGTGTATTATTATCAGATTGTGAAAGGATTAAGGAATTAAGAAGGTGCTAGTTTTGTAAAAAAAATAAAAATAAATACATTTTATGATTCCAATGTTTTATTATAAACTCAACAACTCAATGATTTTGAAATGATCAGATATTAATATAACAGAAAAGCTGATTTATATGATACGAAGTACAGTTCATTATAAAAACTTGAAGTCATTGAAAAAAAAACAAATTAATATGCCTTGTATGCAACTGGTTTGTAAGCCGGGGCCGAGTAAGAGTGAGCTGGAGCGGCGTAAGAGTAAGCTGGAGCGGCGTAAGAGTAAGCTGGGACGGCGTGAGAGTAAGCTGGGGTGGCGTACGAGTAAGATGGGGCAGCGTACGAGTGAGCTGGGGCGGCGTACGAGTGAGTTGGGGCGGCGTACGAGTGAGCTGGGGCAATATGAGAGTAAGCTGGGGCGGCGTAAGAGTGTGCAGCGTATGCGGGCTTGTAGGCCGGGGCAGATTTGTAAGCTGGGGCGCTGTAGCCGTGGCTGTATCCTTCGATTTTCTTAACTTCGGCGTTGAAACCGCTGTGGTCGGCGGTGTATTCGACGACGCGGGTGGAACCGTCGGCTTCCAAAAGGCTGTACGATCCCTTGACGTTGCCGTGTCCGTCGCTGTGTTCGGATTGGCTCTTGACGTCGTATGAGTGTGGGTCGTTTACGCTGTACTCGAAGCTGTACGGGGCCGGGGCGTACGAGTGCTCCGGGGCGTAAGCGTAAGCGTGATGTGCCGGGTAAGCCGGTGCGGCGTATTCAGCGAGTGCGGTGGCCACGCAGGCTGCGAAAATGATCATCTGAAAAATAGTAGGTATTGGTTAAAATTAAAAAAAAAAAAAAAATTATATTTGAGTAAAAAACTGTGGACTGCTAGCGATTCGAGTGGTCCAGCTCGAAATATAAATTTGGTTCATTATTATCAAATAAAATCTAAATACCTTAACTGCCATTTTTGTTGTTTGGTTATTTTTATTTTATTTTTTTGAACTGTGCTGTGTTTGCTTGGTTCTGTGAACTGAAACTGATAGCAAACCACTATTGATTATCCCTATTTATACAAAACTAATGTATTGGTTACTTCCCTTCCAGTTACACTTCATAATTATTATTAATTAGACGAATGCTAATTAAGTCTGATTGGAACTGGTTGTACATAATGTACTATTAAATATATAGTATTTTTTTTTTTTTAAACACTTTTGCGGCTACCGCCCTCTAAATCAATTATGCTTTGCAGTCTAATGATAATATTAATACATTTTGAACTCTCCTACTTATTTGAAAATTTATATTTTCAAGTATGATATTTTACATTTATTCTGAAAATATACCAAAATGGTGGGGTTAGACTCTTTTTAAAGGGTACATTATAATGTCATGTTTATCTACTATCTACTTACTTGTCAATAAAAAAAATACTATTAGTAAGTTAAAATGGATTATAAAAAAGTTTAATCACATATTAATTTATTCTATCGTAATACTACTTAAATATACGATAATTTAATAACACGATGTCAAACCAATCGAATAAAAATGTATCTATATAACCAATTTCATTTTTTTTTTTTTTTTTATCATTTTTCGTTAACGTATTAAATTACAACCTAAAACATGTATTCCATTTCTCAATAAAATGTATTTTATTACTTGATTTGAATGTTTTACACGTTTATTTACTTAACTTGTAAAATTTATTTCTAAAAGATTTGGTTAAAATTATTTTTAAACAATTAAAAATCATCAATAAAAATAATGAAATAATTATTTTAATCATATACATTTAATTCAAAATACGCATAACCGCATAATGTATTTAAAACAAACTTAAATAATAGAATAATAGAAAGGCACCACGATGAATACATCAAATTAATAAATAAAATAAGTAATCTATAAACTAAACATAACGAAAGGGCGTTATTTATATTTTTATTATTTCAACATTCTCAATGAAGTAATAAAGAATTATTGTAATGGCTTTTCAATAATAAAAATTTTTATTTTACATCAATTTCATATATCTAGGGATGAAAAAAATAAAATTTGTTTAATTAAGTTTATATGTATTGTACATTCATTGCAGAAATTTTAGAGGTCAGTTTCAAAATCATTTAGATAATTGTAGAGTATAAAAAAAACATACTTAAAATTATCATATTAAATTTATTTTCAAGGAAATATTAAAAAAAAAAATTATACATTAGGTATTGATCAATCGATAGTTTTATCAAATTGCTCATTTTTATTAATGGATGTAAATTATATATTTTTTTTAAATTTTTTTGTAAAATATAAACAAATCAAACGAAAATAAAGATAATATTAATTCAAAACAATTAACAACACATTAATCAAGTTCATAGATCTTACAAATACATTATTTATTTAGTATATTTATTATCATAAATATATTGATATTCGTTGTAGATATTGAGTTAATATTTTATTATTTTTTTTTTTTTTTTTAACAGTATATAAATTAAAAATTTTAAACGTTGGTATAATATACGCGTGTAATATGTTTATCATAAATATATACATCATGATATTCGAACATCAAAAGTATCTTATAATTCCAACATTTATAGTTTTCTAATCACGATAGATATGCTTATATTGTATTAATATTATCCTAGTATATATCCGTATAATAATCTGTTCTTGCATCTGTAATACTTCTATAATGTCTTGCTAAATTACAGAAAATTGCTATATTTATTACTTCATTGGAAAGAAGTATTCAGCAAAAGGGTGTGGTAAATTTAAAATTGTTTAAGATACAAAAATAATTGATAATATTATTCAACTGGTTCTTATATTTTTACATAATAATATGTGTGGACATTCAGTTTTTAAGAGAAATTAAATTTAAATGAACATGAACATAAATATAAAAAATCAATAGTGAAGAGATATCAGTTCTAAATCTTAATAAAACCAAACACACACACACACAAAAATAAATAAATACAAAATTTCTATTTATGGTTGTACACTTACTTATTTTTAAATAATATAGGTATATTATATACGTATATATATTTGCATTAAAAACGTTAATCTTAAAGCATGTTTAGTTTTGATTTTTTTATTTTAACGCTTTTATTGTAGATGATTATTTTTGCTACCTGTGAGGTCACCACTCTCACCTAATACACCGCCCAACCTTACCCGGAAAACCATACTTACATGCCCTAGAGCATGCACTCCTTCACTCCTATAAAAATAGCGTAAAATACCTACACTCTTTTATAAACCAATTTAACTATAGCGACGGACACAGTAGGTAACGTTAAATGACCATACTGACTTTTGGAAGCCGACGGTTTAAACTGCGTCGTCGAATATACCGCCAATGACTAAAATGGTTTCAACACCTAAGTCAAGAAAATCACAGAATTTAACCACGGTTACAAGACGTGCCTCATATCCAGCCTACAGATTGGCCTATTCTATTCCAGCTGCTTACTCAGCATCATCTTACTCTGTGCTGGCTTACAATGTATACTAGTTATCAAACTTTTCATCTTAAACCTTGTTTAAATTATTTTAAATAACTTTCTCGATATTGAGAGGCACTTATATCATTGAAATTACTGAACTACTTGTTTATAAAATAATATTTTAACTGATTTATTATTTACATAAATACTATAAAGATTAATGTAGGTTATCTGGCATTTTGATACATATCATTATAGTCGGTCTATATATAATTTGGTTGATATTTTAGCAGACTTATTCAAATGGCATTTTGTAAGGCATTGCACTTTGATCATAGTAAATCGGTTATTATAACTATAACTGTAAAAATAAAATGAAAAACAAATTGCTATTGGATAAACTAGCAACATTAAATGAGATAATACAATGTTTACAATCATTTTAGTACGTATTATTTTATCGACTTACGTTGCTAATGTATTTTATAAAATAATACTACAGATTACAGAACTATAATAATAAGTTCCAGGAAAATTATAGTTGTTTATTGTTTTTGTTTGTATTTAAGATACACATACTTATATTAAATTCTCGATATTATATTTTCAATTATCGCCGTGTCAAGATTATTTAATCCACAAAATGAAAAAAGGGGTTATCGACTTGTCAAATTAATTTGTTTATGAGTTTTTAATACTACAAATATTTGTGTAGTATGGAGTCATAAATAATATAGTGTCTTGTAAAAGTTTGTTCCGTGTACAAATTAAAGTAAGAGCAATATTTAAAGATTTAAAAACTAAACCTAAATAAGTACGTAATACGTAATACTATTAATAAGATTAGGTATACAAACAAGTAGTGAATAAAACAAAAACTTTTTTAATATATATTTCCCTATCTGAACTGATAAATTTAATAAACATCTGGCAACTTACAATTACATGGAATGTACTGTCCATCAAAAGTAAGAAATATATATTATAAAATAGATGATAGTCTACTTAGCCTGTAAAATACAATATATATTTATATATAATATCATTTTTATAATATATCACTGTAGTTTTTTGTTCAATAAATAACAAAACCAACTGGTTATTTTTTTTTTTCTAATAAATAAGTAAAAACCGTCATGAACTTAATTTTGTAGCTTGCTTAGTTTTTTTGAATTGAATAAATATTTAAAATTTTAAAAAATAAATAGTTTTACTTTTAACGATTACATTTCTTAAATTTAAGTGTACTTTAAGTTAAAAATGGGCAGAATTATTCCTCTTATTTCTCGTGTATTTTTTTGTGCATGTTTTAAATCACTAGAGAATTATCGTACTCAACAAGGAAGTATGGCACTGAGACTAACATTAAAATGTTTGAAAAATTTGTTTCAAATATTATGTTGCCCATACAGTTAAATAATAATATAAAACATTTTTACAATATATAGTATTATAGTATATCAATACGTATTACTCATAATTATAGGTTCCGTTTTAGTTTTACGGTGCTTATCTGAGAAAAAAATAAATTTTCTAAATTTTCTGGTTGTGTGTTAATTTTAATTATTCCTTAAAAATCACTAAAAGTATATTAATATTGGTCATGATGTATTAGTTGAGTTTAAGTTTATCCAATTGATATAATATTACATTTGATTGCTTTATTAAGCAAATAAATTAACATTATTATTGTGTAGTTTATATTATCGAGTATAATACGAGTAATTAACGAGTATCATATTAACTTGTGAAAGTGAATTTGTCAATAATCAAACTCGAATCAATGAACTGCCCTTTTAATTCATAAAGGTTAGTTATCGATTTATACTCAATATAAAAATGTCTGTATATCTACGTACTATACTTGATAAAATTAATTTGCTCGAATTGTTATGAAACTTCACTTACATGTATTGTTAATATAACTCTAACAAATTGGGTAGCCCTATAGTCACAATACATTTACTTATTGTGCCCTATAGTAGGCAATATATATATATATATATATATATATATATATATATATATAT